TCAGGACCTCACCCTTTATCATTTTGATAGCCTCAGCAACACTAAGAACAGCCCCACCAAACCTTACCGAGCATCTAGTTCGCCAGATATTACTTATCATAGATTGCCAAATCATCCTCCCAACAACTGAATGAGGATCAGAGGATGAGAAGGAATCCACAGCCCACTGAAGTTCATCAGGCCAAGAGTTTGAGGAGACTCTAACACAGTGCTTACAGTAAAGCTCGGTGAACAACTCTTTATAGCTGCAACACTCAGCAAACAGATGGTTCAAAGTCTCAATCCTGCAATCACAGTAAACACAAGCAGTCATCCCTTGGAAACCCCAACTCAACATTTTATCACATGTAGAGATATATTGTTTTATAACAAGCCAGCTGAGAAACTGATTCCGAGGTATAAAAGGATTCTTCCAGATCAGCTTAAACCAAGAGACTTCAGGACTGTGAGGCCTAAGCTCCTCCCAGATCAGCTTTGTAGAAAACTTCTTCATCAGTTTACCCTTCCAGAACCCTTCACCATTCTGTACAATCAGATTTTGCTGAATGACATCCCTTGTTTTGAGCACTTTAAGCCACAACCAGGAGCCAGTTTTACATGTAGAAGTCCAAAAATCAGCCCCATGGAGCCTATATTCCCAAATCCAAGCTACCCACAGTGACCCCTGTTTAGTGAGAAGATCCCAGATATGTCTCACTATACAAGCCAGGTTCGAACTTTTCAAATCCCTCAATCCCAGACCACCTTTCCTTTTAGGAAAAGTCAACTTCCCCCAAGATGCAACTGCTTTCTTCTTTCCTTCAGTTCCCACTCCCCACAAAAAATTACTACACAGCTTCTCAATTTCCATTATCACCCTCTTTGGCAAGATAAACACTGCCATCCAGAACTGGACCATGCTATATAAAACAAAAAGGACCAACTGAAGTCTGCCTGCATAACTCAGAGATTTAACCCCCCCAATTCTGAATCTTCTTACCAATTCTGTCCAGAAGGGGTCGACAGGCTTTAATAGTTAGTTTTCTAGGAATTAATGGAATTCCCGGATATCTAACAGGCAGAGAGCCTAACTGATAACCAGCCCTAACTGCCATGTTCACCTGCCACTCCTTGGGTAAACCACAGCATTAGAGTTCACATTTAGCAGGGTTAGACACTAGACCAGAAAGCACCCTGAATTGGTTAAGTACAACTTGAATACACTGAATTCCATAATTAGAACCATCAGAGAACAACAGTAGGTCATCAGCAAACATCAAGTGGGTCAAACCAATTCTTTTGCACATAGGATGGAATGGCATCCTATTTTCCTGAACAGCTAAATTCATTAGGCAGCTGAATACTTCCATAGCAACAGCAAAAAGATAAGGAGAGAGGGGGTCTCCTTGTCTTAAACCCTTTTTTGCTGAGAAATACCCAACCACCCCACCATTGAACCCAACACTGATTTTAGGAGTAGTAAAGCACATTTTAATCCACTTAATGAAGTCAAGGGGAAAGTTCACAGCTTCTAACACAGTGGAAAGGAAATTCCAGTCCACTGAATCAAAAGCTTTCATCAGATCAACCTTCACCATGCATCTAGGGGACATGTTTTTCCTACTATACTTCTGGACAATCTCATGAGCAAGCAGAATGTTTTCACCTATAATTCTCCCTTTAACAAAAGCAGTTTGGTTCTCACTTATCAGATGAGGCAAACATTCACTAAGCCTAGAAGAAATTATCTTAGCTATACATTTATATAAAATGTTACAGCAAGAGATAGGACTGAAGTTTTTCATTTCTTCTGGGTTCTTAGTCTTAGGTAACAGTGCTAAAAGGGTAGAATTTACCTCCAAAGGTATTTCAGATACTAGGAAACAGTACTGAATGGCAGCAGTGACTTCTTCTCCAACAATACTCCAAGCATGGTGAAAGAAACAGGCTGAGTAGCCATCAGGCCCTGGGCTCTTCTCACCCTTAAACCCAAATATAACCTTTTTGACCTCCTCTGCACTGACTGGCTTACACAGATCCATAGCCAGACTACTGGGGAGTGACTTTTGCAGCAACCCTCGATAATATTCCACAGACTGAACTTTCACATTTGAATCAGCTTTGCCCAATAAATTCTGATAAAACCTCTTGGCAACCTCACTCATACTACTGGTATCAACCACCTTTTCCCCAGCTTCATTAATAAGTGACCTGATGGTGTTCCTCTGGTTTCTGATTTTAACAGATCGATGGAAATAAGGGGAGTTTGAATCCCCTTCTTTGAGCCATATTTCCCTAGACTTCTGTCTAAGGAAAGATTCTTCAGCATTCTTTAGAGAAAACAACTCAACTTCCCTTTCTTTGACAAGAGTAAAAGTTTCAGTGGAGGGAGTAATTAAAGCAGCAGCCTGTGCATTCAACAAAGCAGATTCCTGCAACTTTACTCTTTCACTCAAATCAGAATATGCTTCCCTATTCAAACCCCTGAGCAGTTTCTTAAGGATTCTTAATTTTTTGCAAACTCTAGAGAGAGGAGAACCTTCCACCTCAGTACCCCAAGCCTCTTTAACCAGATCAATAAATTTAGGATGAGAGGTCCAGAATTTAAAGAACTTAAAAGGTTTAGGGAGAGATTTGATCTTACTGTCTGTGTTCAATATAAGAGGACAGTGATCAGACACTGAAGGATCCAGCAGGTCCACAACACTATCCTTCATCACTTCCAGCCATTTCAAATTAATGAATGCCCTATCCAGCCTCCTAGCAATAGGGTTAGCCTGCTGTTTATTGATCCAAGTAAACCAAGGTCCAGAAGACTTGTGTTCCACTATTTCAGCCATACTCTGCCAAGTTCTAAAATCTTCCATACTGCTGTTAGGATTAGGATTGTTTGAGGCCTCCTCATGGCCATTTATAGCATTATAGTCCCCTAGAATAATCCAAGGAACCTGCTCCACCTTCAACTTAACCAGATCACTGTAAAGTTTTCTCCTATCCCCCTCCTCATTAGAAGCATAAACAAAGGTGAGAAAGAAAGGAGTTCCTGAGCTGACCAGGGCATGAACAAACTGCTCTGAACTATCCAAAACCCTCAGCTGCACATCCTGTTTCCATAGAATCCATAATTTTCCCAAACCATTTGCATTGCAAGCAACCTTTTTCTCCCAACCTGGAAATCTTTTACTAATGAGTGCATCTGACTCAGCTACTTTGACTCTTGGCTCTAGTATACCAACTATATCTATATTTAGTTTATTTACTAGCTGTTGAACAGCTTTATTTTTACCAGGGTCTTTAAACCCCCTGGTGTTCTAGGATAAGACCTTCATTTCTTCTTGCCCTTCCCCCTTCTTAGCAGGAGGAACAGGTGGTTTCTTCTTAGCAGAATTCCCAGTTACTGTGATCCATGGATTCACTTCATTGCCAGCAGGTGTTGCCTGAGAATCCAGCCTCCCCAACGGTGAACTAGATTGCACAGGCACAGGCTGAATGATAGCAGGACTCCCAGCTGAAACTGTTGATCCCTTTACCACTTCAGCAAAACTCCCCACTAGCCCCCCATTTGACTGAGGAACAGGACTTGAAGAACCTGCAATATTTATCCCAACACCATCTGCTGCCAAATACGTGCTAGGCTCCATAGAAACAGATTGAGAACTATCACCAGCGTCAAAAAATTACCATGTCAGACCCTTGCTCCACACCTTTACCTTTGACATTAATATCCCCTATGTGAACAGTATCAGGCTGAGACACCACTGCAGGAACCCCAACATCACCCTTAGCTCTTGGAATCCACTTCTTACCACTCTTTGCTAACCAGTCACAGTCATGCCCATAAATCGAACAACGATCACAAATCAGAGGCTTGTTGAGATATTCTATCTCTATGTCAAAGGATGGATCATCATCTGGATAAAGACGAACCTTCTCCGGAAAACCACAATCAGCAGCCAAATCGATACAAACCTTTGCAAAACCCAGTTGCCCACCAACCCTAGTAGTCTGATCCATCCAGAGCGGTGCCCCAATCGTGCTTGCAATCCATTCATGCCCTTCAAAAGAATGATATTCCAACGGAATACCCCACAGCTTGACCCAAATCGGTAGATTTTCAACAGTCGGAGTAACAGGCTGAATCCTAGGAAACCATTTCCGAAAAAATACCGGATTACCCTGAAAATGCCATGGACCAGATTTGAAAACCAACTTCCCCGTAGCTGCCGAAAGAAACTGGAACACCATCAGTCGAGGACCAAATTTGGAGACACGGACCACTCCATCCCTCCCCCACAAGCTGGTAGCCCACTGCTGGAGAGCAGCCGGTTTGGGAACAGACCCAACAAATTGGGCAATGAGACAGTCCTTCCACCGCTCCTCTCCTCTCTTTTTAACTTCATGAGGAAGCCGAAAACCATCATTCATCTTCTGAGGAGGTCGATACGTCATCTTGTTTGCCGGATCCACCTCAAAGAGAGAAGCCCAGCTAGCCTGCCCAGCAGCCGGCGCTGCGCCTGGCGGCGGCGGCGCCGCCATCGCGAAGCAAGATGCAGAGAAAACAATTAAGAAGAGAGAGAATCGTGAAATTAAATATTTCTAGTGATTAAACATGAACGTTTTTTGTAAACCTAGTGACCAAACTTGCAATTAACCCTTTTTGTGCTCTACAAGATGCTGTCCATTTTAATATTTTTTGAGCAATTTTTTTCGGGTAAATTGCAAGTTTGGTCACTCGAATTGCTATAAAATTTCACGTTTGCCACTAGAATTAATTTATTTCGTCCGTAGTCACTTAAATTAGTTACACAGTTCAAGTTCGATCACTCTCCGTTAGTCTCCGTTAACTTTATCTCACATGACAGTCAACTCTGAGAGTTGACTTTTAAATAAATGACGTGGCAATTAAAATTTTAAAAATTATTTTTTTACAATTTCCATATCATTTTGACAATAAATTAAAATAAATGACAAAAAAAAATTATAACTATCCGCCTTCCCTCAACACAAACCCGATTAGCCTATGTACTCGTTCATCCGAAGAGGAGGAGGACGTCGAGTTCTTCCGACGCCGTGTCGCTCCAGAACTCCACCCATCTAGGCGTTCTGTTCGCAGCCCCGCGAGACCCGTGTCCAGGCTCCGACGAAAAAAGTTCGATGATGATGACGACGATCACGAGGTATAAGATGAAAATCCCCAAAATTTCAATTCAAATGCAACGGTTAGTACACAGGCCACTTGGAGCGACATCGTTTCTGGGAAAGCTACAAGTAAACCGAGTGGAACGGCGCCGTCTCGAGACAAAGGGAAGAACATCATCGATACGTCGCCGTTGTGAACGAAGACAATCAACGTCACTTTCCTTCTTCTGTCTTTTGTTCCCTATGCACTCTGTTTCTATGTTCTGCTTTTCTGTAAAGACAACTGCTCACTGAAGCTTGTCTTCTTATGCCCGATCCTTGTATAAAACCCACAATGATGATCAATGAAAAACTAAGTTAGGGTTTCACATCTACACTTCGTGTTATGGTATCAGAGCAACCCTAGCCGCCGCCTCCAACATGGCCGCTTAGGAAGCTCACCCAAACCAGGATCCCATGGCGGATCCTTACTACCTCCATGGTTCTGATCAACCAGGGTTGCTGCTGGTAGGTGAGAAGCTGACCACCACCAACTATAACGACTGGAGCAAGGCTATGCTCAACGCATTGGCCGCCAAGAACAAGCTTGGCTTCATCAATGGCACAATCACTGCCCCTGAAGCAACAGATGCACAGTTCTCCTCTTGGACACGCAACAAAATCATGGTTCTCAGCTGGATCCAACAAGCCGTCGAACCTGGAATCAAGAAAACCATTATGTCCAGCAAGCTCACTTCTGAAGCTTGGCATAGTTTGAGATCTCGCTATGGCCAAGGAGATATGATTCGCATTGCAGAGCTCATAGAGTCCATTGGTATCATCAAACAAGGTAACCAAACTGTGACTGAATACTATGGAAATCTCATAGCATTACAAGATGAATTAGACAATTATCAGCCTATAGATCCCTGTCGCTGCATAGCTACGAGTCACACCACCTGTGTCTCTATGAATACTGTCCTTGGTTACAAATCTATCAACTCTGTTGTTCACTTTCTTCGTGGCCTGAATGATAACTTCGCCACTGTGAGGTCCCAAGTTCTGTTTGGCGATACATTGCCACCCATTGACAGAGTTTTCCAGCGAGCATTACAGCATGAGAGACAGTTGTTTGGTACTCAATAGGGCAAAACCCTTACCACTGAACCCACAGCCTTTGTTGTTCAAGGAGCTAGAAGACCATACATTCTTGGGAAGCGTCCCCATTGCACTTTTTGTAATGCTCCTGGCCACACTGAAGATACATGCTATCACAAGCATGGATGGCCACCAGGTCTAACTTCCAGAGGCACTACACCAACTTCCAATCCATCTTCCAAACCCCCCAAAATGCACATTCTGCAAAAGGATTGGGCACACAGAAGAAAAATGCTTCAAGAAGCATGGTCACCCACCTCCTTCCCAACCCAGATCTCAAGCTCCTCCTCGTGGCAGGCAGTCCATCAATGCTGCTGATAGCAGCTCCTCTTCAGATCCACAACCTGAGTTCAAACTCACCAAATCAGACTATGAAAAGCTCATGTCTCTCATGGAAGACCACAACAAGGGCAAGTATTCTCTCTGCAGCTCTCACTACTCACTATACTGCTGGCTCTTCAGGTAATCCTATATGCAATATCATTCAGAATCACCATACCATCATTCCTTGGATCCTAGACACTGGTGCCACAGACCACATTGTGAATTCTCTTCACTTTCTCACTAATCTTGAACAAGTACATCACATTTTCATTAACTTGCCTACTGGTGATAGAGTTCAAGCAACTCACAGGGGACAAGTTCTATGCCTTGATGATTTAACCCTTGAAGATGTTCTATTTGTTCCTAAATTCACCTTCAATCTCCTCTCAGTGAGCAAACTCACCACCACCAGCCCCCTAAGCTTAACTTTTTCTTCTGATTCTTGCTCAATACAGGACATGAAGCTGCAGAGAGTGACTGGTTCTGCTAAGCTCCTCCATGGCCTTTACCACATCAACCTTCCCTTAGCTAGTACACCTAACCACATCACAGCTGTTGTCACCATCTTTTGATATTTGGCATTTCAGACTTGGCCATGTTTCCCATAGTCGAATACCATACCTGAAACAGATTCACCAACACATAGAAACCAACAGTAGCTTACCTTGTGATGTTTGTCATTGTGCCAAACAAAAACGGCTTCCTTTTCCTTCAAGCACAGCTGTAACTACACATTGCTTTCAGTTGATACATGTTGATATCTGGGGTCCTAACTCTTGCCCAACTTATGATGATTTCAAATATTTCCTCACAATTGTTGATGACTATTCCAGGATGACATGGCTCATCCTTCTTCAGTCCAAAGCTGATGCTAGACCTAAGTTACAACACTGCTGTACCATGATTGCAACCCAATTTTCTACATCAGTTCAAACCATTAGAAGTGACCAAGGAAAAGAATTCCAAATGACTGAGTTTTTTGACAAAACATGCATCTTACATGAGATGTCCTGCATTGAAACACCACAACAGAACAATAAATTTGAACGCAAACATCAACATATCTTAGCCATTTCTAGGGCCCTGAAGTATCAAGCACATCTACCTATTGCTTTCTGGGGAGATTGTGTAAAGCATGTTGTTTTTCTAATCAACAGAGTTCCTACACTAGTCCTAGACAACATCACTCCCTACCAGAAACTCCATAGCAAACCCCCTGATCTCCAAGACTTAAAGGTCTTTGGATGCCTTTGCTTTGCTTCAACCATTACTAGTCACAGAACCAAATGTCAGGAAATGGCAAGAAAAGGTGTATTCCTGGGTTACACACCAGGTATCAAAGGATACATAATATATGATCTTAACACCCATGACATCTTCACATCAAGGGATGTTCATTTTTATGAGACTGAATTCCCATTCCAACCAGCCATTCCCACTTCTTTACCCCCAGAACCCAACCAATCTCCTCATCTCTATCCCCTACCTTCCTCTCCTGACCATGAAGATCCACCTCTCAATCTACCCTTACCAGTGCCCTCCCCATCTTCCCCACATATGTCAGCAGCCTGTCCACAGCCACCAACTCAATCCTCTACCCCTACTCCACCACCATCCCTGGACATTCCCATAGCCATTAGGAAGCCAGCAAGAACAACCAAACCCCTTTCAAACCCCAAAACTACCATTGCAACCTACTTCAGCAGGTTTCTTCCACCAGTCATTCTCTCCTGCAACATGTTTCAGGTATTACCTATCCCCTCTCTGATGTACTTGATTACTCTGGCTTATCTCCTTATTTGAAGTTTATTCTAAGCATCTCCTGTCACAAAGAACCTGAATCATATGAAGAGGCTGCCACCAGACCAGAATGGAATAGAGCCATCAATCATGAAATTGATGCTCTTGAGCAAAACCAAACATGGGATGTTGTTTCTCTACCACCTAACAGGAAACCCCTTGGCAACAAGTGGATATTCAAATACAAATTCTTCTCTGATGGCACTTTAGAAAGGGAGAAAGCAAGACTTGTGGCTAAGGGATACAACCAACAGGAAGGGATAGATTATCAAGATACATTTGCCCCTGTGGTAAAAATGACTACAGTCAGACTATTTCTAGCTATTGCAGCTTCAAGGTCTTGGCATGTTCACCAACTTGATGTGAACAATGCCTTTCTTCATGGAGACCTCACTGAGGAGGTATACATGAAGCTTCCAAAAGGTTACAATCCTCCACCCCACATACAAAACCCAGTTTGCATACTCAAGAAGTCCTTATATGGTTTAAAGCAAGCATCAAGACAATGGTTCTCAAAATTAGCAGATTGTCTCATCAGCCATGGTTATAGTTCAAGTCAAGTGGATCATTCTCTATTGTACAAGTCAACAGGTTCACATTACACATGCATTCTGGTCTATGTTGATGAATTGTTGGCAAGCTAATCTATCTAACAACAACTAGACCAGATATCAGACCCATGCCACTCAACAGGTCAGTCAATACATGGCCAATCCAAGCATTCAACACTACTAGGCTGTGACCAGGATTCTCAGATATCTCAAATCAGCCCCATCCACATGTCTATTCTTTCCCTCTTCATCCAATCTCCAACTCCAATCGTTCTGTGACTCCGATTGGGCATCTTGTATGGACACTAGGAGATCAGTTACAGGTTATTGCATATACCTAGGCTCTGCCTTGGTTTCATGGCGCAGCAAAAAGCAGAAAACCATATCCAGATCATCTTGCGAGGTCGAGTACAGAGCCATGGCAGATGCCACCTGCGAGATTCAATGGCTCCTTTACCTTCTCAAGGATTTCCAAGTTCAGCATTCCAAGCCTGCAACCCTCTTCTGCGACAACCAATCAGCAATCCACATAGCTGAAAACCAAACCTTCCATGAGAGAACAAAACATATAGAACTGGATTGTCACCTCGTGCGTGAGAAACTGCAAGCTGGAACGATTAAACTACTCAATGTGTCCTCGCTTCATCAGCTGGCGGATCTATTCACCAAAGCTCTACCACCAGCAACCTTCTCCAGCCTCATCTCCAAGCTCGGTGTGCACAATCTGTGCCCACCAGCTTGCCGGGGGGGGGGGGGGGGTATCAGATGAAAATCCCCAAATTTTCAATTCAAATGCAACGGTTAGTACACAGGCCACTTGGAGCAACATCATTTCTGGGAAAGCTACAAGTAAACCGACTGAAACAACGCCATCTCGAGACAAAGGGAAGAGCATCATCGATACGTCGTCGTTGTGAACGAAGAGAATCAACGTCACTTTCCTTCTTCTGTCTTTTGTTCCCTCTGCACTCTGTTTCTATGTTCTGCTTTTCTGTAAAGACAACAGCTCACTGAAGCTTGTCTTCTTATGCCAGATCCTTGTATAAAACCCACAATGATGATCAATGAAAAACTAAGTTAGGGTTTCACATCTACACTTTGTGTTACGAGGAGGAGGAGCTGACCGAATTTTCACTGACGGATCTCTGCTTGGTGAGGAGGATCGGCGATGGGGATATCGAGAGAAGCCCGAAGGTGCAAGCGAGCGAGCTCCCCCGACTACATCCCGAATCCCCAACTCCTACCTCTCGCGGGACCTTCTCGCCGCCACTTCTAACCAGGTTCGGCAACGCGCCAACATCGTTCTCCTTTGAGGGGCGGCAGGAATAGGTGTCAGCGGCACTTCACGGCTATGCTGTTCGGGTCCAGAGACCAGAGTCGCTCGATTATGAGATGGAGAAAAGGAGGAGAAAAGTTCAAGAATGGCAAGAAGTGAAAAGGAAGAAGGAAGAATCCAAGCGTGAAAAGCTCGGGGAATCGGAGCCGACAGACGAACTGAAATCCGGTAAAACCTGGACCCTCGAAGTTAGCTAGGAGTGGTGTTGAAGACGACGGTGGGAAGAAATTTTTCTTTTTCAATTTTAATAATTATAAACTTTTATTTTTGTGATAATGATGTGGATTTTCTAACAGATTAATTTTTATTTTTAAATTATTTTATAATTGCCACGTCACTTATTTAACGGTCAACTCTCAGAGTTGACTGCCATGTCAGATAAAGTTAACAGAGAGTGACCGAACTTGAACTGTGTAACTAATTTAAGTGACTACGGATGGAATAAGTTAATTCTAGTGGAATAAGTTAATTCAACTATTCAAGTGACCAAACTTGCAATATACCCGTTATATTTATGTCCATCGGTGTCCAATATTATTGTTGTTATTGGAAAAGTTTGTAGTCTCCAAATATACTCATTATAATTCAATTGATAAATATGGTAAAATGGCGAAGAAGTTCGTAATTATATATACTCTCTTTTGGAGTGGCTTCCCGTCTTGTATGGACGTGAAGGCTGCTAGAATGCATTCAGGAATTTTAGGGTGTACTCATAAAAATAGTAGGTATTATGTCCAACTCTAAATTCATATTTTAAATATTGAATTTTGAATATTAATTGATAGCATTAATCTAATATGTTAATATAGTACAGAATCATGTATTATCTTAATCCCTAAATCTCACATTATGAACCCTAAATCCTAAATTCTAAATCTTAAACAGTAGCGCTATATCTTTATATACATACACTTTAAATCAACGTAAATCTTGAATGACTTTTGTGAAAATTCAAATATTTTCTTGTCCATCATATCACAAGTGATGACTGACATTGTTTTGTAATGAATTCATACTCATAATAATGATTAACAGACAAGTGCATAACATACACCAAGGGAAGACAAAATTACACAACCACACACACTATTGTGGAATACTCTGGTATTGGTGAGAAAGTCTGTAACCTAGCAGTACAAATGCTAGGGATTTAGAGAAGAGGATAAGCTGAATTTGTGGGAATCGGCAGGATGTCTTCTCCGTTTTTCATTGATCAGTTTACATACAAAAGCTCAATTACAGAAAGAGTAGAGCTACAATAGTTTACGACTAACTCTAACTAACTATCAAAACTAATCAATAATGCAGCACCAAGTGTCAAACAACGAGAACTAATTACATAGTTCAAATCCTTGGCGAACGACGTCGTTTGGTCTCTTATTTATTTACTCGGTTTTCATAGCCGAGTAAGGTGAAAGGAAGCCCAACCCCGCTGACTAGCCACTTCATCCTGTAACAGCAGCATCCAATGTAGTTAAAAATCAGATTTTAATCTTAAAATCTTACAATTTTACCTATGAGTTCCGATCCTGATTTTAATATAAATCTTTGAACCTTAAAATTCCATAAAATCCCGATTTAAAACTTTAAGATCCTTAAAATCTATAATTTTTACGATTTTGTACGATTTCAAGGTTATGTCAATTGGAGCAAAATCAGGTCGGTCAGGTTGGATTTTGCCGATGAACCAGGTCAAGTTCACTTCTCTCAGTCCAATATAATCAACAACACAACCCTAACCTGATAAAAGACCCATCAACTGATTTTCGTTCTCTTCCTCGCATCTTCCTTTTCCGCACGCCGACACCCAACACTATTCCCCAACTTTTATCGATCAAGTAAGGAATGCATCGATCAATGAGTTACCTTTCCCAGATGATAACGATCAAGTGATCCTAATGTTGATCCTAACAATCTTATGTGATTTTCTAATCTTAACTACTTACCAAATTAAGTGATTTCTATGAGTTTTTATGTTGCTTATTTGTGTGTTTTTGTTATGTACAAGAATAAATCTATGGATTTATTGTGTTTATTTAGCAGACAAACTTATCTTGGGAAGTAATTAGGTCATATGTGGTTGACCGTTATTCATGATATGGATTGTTATTACTATCTGGTGTTTAAAGTGTTTATTTTAATATGAACCTTAAAATCTTATGATTTTAATCTACGATTCCGATTTTACCTCACTTTTTGATTTTACGTATCCCGATTTTGACTGCATTGGCTGCAGCTAGGGCTGGTATTCGGTAAACCGGTATTCGGTATAACCGGGTACCGAACCGGTTACCATCGGTATTCGGTATACCGAATACCGATGGTATCGGTATTCGGCTGCAATATTTGGCCAACCGGTATACCGTATACCGGCCAGTAATTTACCGACGGTAAATCGGTATTACCGAATACCGAATAAAAAAAAAGTTTACTCTCCTCTCCCGCCGCCTGGCCCAACAACAACCCTAACCCCGCAGTCCTCCTTCAGCAGGACTCCACCAAGGACGAACAGCAGCAGCTCGATGATCCCCAGTCTTACGATTCCCGATTTCATTTTGACTGTTTTGTTCTGAATTGCCGAGTTGTGTGGTGGTGTTGAATTTTGTGGCCTCTGGTTTTGTTACAGGATGTTTATGCCGGGGATGACGATGAGTACGAGGAAAAGTTGAAGAAAGAGTCTATCGCTTTCTTCTTCCTCGCTACGTGAGGGAATAGTCTGACTCTGCCACTTTCTAAAGCTTCTATCTTTTATTTAAATTTCTGGTTTTGTAACATGGGTTGCTTGGTGGTTGGGTGGGAAGGTATGGAGATGGTGAGCCGACTGATAATGCAGCAAGGTTCTACAAGTGGTTTATTGAGGTAAAATTTCAGCTGGGTTGAGTGAAATCGGCCATTGAATTCAGTCTATGGGTGGAATTTAAATTGACTGACTTCATGCAACAGGGTAAAGAGGCTAGAGGAGAATGGCTCAAGATGAATTATGGAGTGTTCGGTCTTGGCAATAAGCAATATGAACACTTTAATAAGGTATTGAAGAGTGTTTTGAGATGGGTGCCTTTCAGAATTTGTTTTGATGCCTGTTTATTACGGGGATGAACTCTGACTAAATTTATGTATTTGTTGGTTGATACTATAGATTGCTAAGGAGGTGGATGATCTTCTGGCTGAACAAGGTACAGTTCTTTATTCCCTTGAAGTTTCGTATAGAAATGGAGTTCCTTTTTATATTTAAATGATGGGGAACTAGAACATTTAGTAGTTAATGGAATCTGGTACACAACATTAGCAGTCCGATTTCTGTCCCAGCGGCGTGTGATCCCTTGAACGATCAGGCGACAAGGTCAACTCTGTCGCCGCCTTGAGCATCGTCTTCTCAGCGATCGTCGCCCCGCTTGGATACGCCACTTCCTCTTCATCGAGCCATCGATCCGCCAGCACATGTTCCCCTTCAACAAGCCCATGTCTTCCTCTTCTCTTCTCGTCAGGTGATGATTCCCATTTCCCGGTATTCGGTATACCGGTATTAATACCGGATACCGACTATTCGGTATTCGGTATACCGGTTAACATTCGGTATCGGTATTCGGTGGGTACACTGTCTGTTTCCGGTATACCGAATACCGGGTAATCGGTATCCGGTATACCGGATACCGACCGATTACCAGCCCTAGCTGCAGCAGCTTCTGATTCTTCTTCAATGGTGATCTCCACTACAGTTGTGCTTCATACTCCTCCTCAAGCTGGTGAGTACATGTCAAGTACTCCCAGCTTGCCTAACAGAGGCTGAAACTCATCAACAAATAAACCCATAGTGAAGATATCTGTTAACTGGAATTCAGTGTTGACATGATGAAGATTCAATAGTCCTGATTTCAATCTCTCTCGAATGACATAACAGTCAACTTCTACGTGCTTAGTCCTTTCATGAAATCTTGGATTTTTAGCTATGTGAATGGCTGATTGGTTATCACAGTAAACTTTGACAAGGTGAGGATGAGAGGCTCCATAGAACTCAAGTAGAGCTTTGAGCCATTGTACTTCACATGATAGCTGAGCAAGGGCTCTGTACTTAGTTTCTGAAGATGACTTTGAGACAGTCCCTTGCTTCTTACTCTGCTAAGTTATAAATGAAGTACCCAAAAAAGTACAATAGTCTGTAATAGATTTCCTAGAATCAGGGCAAGTAGCTCAGCCTGAGTCATTAAAACCACTTAGCTGCAAGCTTGTTTATGAAGGAAACCATAACCCTTGACCTGGACACCCCTTAAGATACCTTAATATTCTATGCAAAGCCTTCAAGTGAATTGTTGTTGGACAATCCTGGAAATGGCACAACTGTTGGACAAGGAAGCAAATGGTCTTGTAGATGTCAAGTACTAAAGTTGTTCAAGAATGTTCCTTAAGTCTGTGCTATCCTCTAACAAAGTTCCATCAGAAGCAAATAAGGAAGTCTTCATACTAATGAGAGTCTTGGTTGGTTTGTACTCAGGGAAGTCAACATGTTCAATCATTTCTAAGCAGAACTTCAATGAAACCCCTTTAGATATTCTGGCAATCTCCAAACCTAGGAAATACTTCAGATTACCTAGGTCCTTCACTTTGAATCCATACTACAATTTCCTTTTAACTGATTCAATATCCTCCAAACATGGACCAGCTCGGATGATATCATCTACATATACATCCAAAATAACAGTAGCATCCTTAAACACAGAATAGTCTTCATAAGACTGTGTAAAACCCATATGAGAAAGGAATTCAGTGAGTTTGATGTACCACTGCCTGCTGGCTTGCTTCAAACCATATAGGGACTTCTTCAATTTACACACCTTAGCCTGCATGTGGCTTAGCTCTCTCAACCCAGGTTAAAGCTCCATAT